CAGGAGAAGCTTAATGCCATTTAATTATTATGAGCAATGTTAACAGCGGCGCAAAATTCCCATCGCGCTTGTCTGACGAGCGAAGTGGGAATTGCGCGGCTATAGGAATGGCAAAAGTTATGCATGAAATATGATGCAGACAACCAGCTTGCTTCAGGAATTGTGCAGGGCGATGTTTATTCATAACAAACATTGACCATTAGTTGCAATTGAGATTAATTCCGTGCAGAAGGTTAGCCTTTGCGCCCAAGGGCACAGATGATGCGACGGTGGAAATGTTTTACAGAATATTCTTCGATAATTAGTTGACCCGATATGAAGCCTTAATGTCTGGGGCGCTCGCATGCAGCTTAGGAATTATACTGACTGAAGGCCAAATTATCTTAGGTGTTTAGGGTGGTTTAAATGGGCAGTTTGGATCAAGAGAGTCAGGTGCGCAGGAAAGGACGTTCAGTTTTGAGATAGTGGTTGAGAGTTTGTCGCGGAATGCGTCTAGCGAGAAAAGGAAGAAAATGATATAAAATTGGAAGGTTTTTGAATATTTTGGACATCAATTCCCGCCTGCGAGCAGGCTGAAAAATTGTCCTTGTTCCCGCAAAGAAACTGAGAAACAAGCAGGTTTCGTCGTAGAGAACGGCTATACTCACTCGAAACGGTATTAATCTGCAGAGAAAGTTGTCTTGAAATGTTAGTATTTTCTCGAAAATCGTGGAAATATGAATGAAACATTAAGGCATTTTGCAGAGCTGAGCTCTCGTATATGCAATTCCGGAGCTCAGGTCGTTCAAAACGGTTGCCACAGCAATTCAGGAGGACAATTTTGTTCAGAAACGGCGTGGGAGCGAGCGGTCGGAAGAGGCCTTCATAGGTGGCTTGAAGTTGCCGTTAGAGGCTGTTATGTTGCCTTAAATGTACAGTAACGGTAGAGAAAAGCTCGTCATGAAACATGCGTAAGCTCGTTCATTTCAAAAGCTAACGAATTTCCGGCCAATTATTCAAAGGCGTTCGAAATATGTCCGGTCGACGTCACTGATGCACAATGGTTTTCAGAATCTGCTTTGCATATGAGGCACATCAATTCAGCTTCGTTAAAGTCGTCGTTTGCTTATCAATGGCCAGTACCATGTCAACGGTTGGCAATTAAAAATCCAGCAATGACTATAAAGTGATATTGATGGCTTAGCAATGAGTAATTCTTCGTGGGGATGGCGACAACATGCACTGAATATAAGCATTGTACGAGCGCAGGTTATTGCATTCCTGCCCTGGCATGGACAATCACGCGGAAAGCTATTGCATGGATATCGATATCGCGGCGAAACAGATACACGATAGGGCCGTCCAATAACGGTAGAGCATACTTGAAGCCTTGTACATTGAGGGATTGTGTATACTGAAAAGGTAGAACTAAGTAGTGAATACTCAATTGATATTCTGATTTAGATACCGATGTACTAAAAAAATGTCAAAAATCCATGAAGATATATGTTCTTACAAACGGTATTAAGTATTTCTTCTCTGTCTACATTCGATGAAATGAAAGAATTTATGTCTATTTTATTATACAATATATTTTGAAAATGCATGGTTTTCCTTTAATCCCGCGGAATTGACTCGTCTATTATCATCGCATTTCCATTGTGAATATATAGTCCAGAAATCAAAATTAGCCAACCAAGTTTAGGGAACAAAAATAAATAAAAGAAAAAATTTTCTATTTGTGCTCCTTGTGAGACTGCAAGATCATTCCTCAACGATTTAAGTGTATTATTATGTGAAACACCTGAATGAAAACCTTAACATTAATGTGTAACAATACAAACATTATCGAGCCTCAGTACTAAGGCTGAATGATTCTTCATGTGTTCGCACACCCAGAAAGTGAACGTGTCACATGGCCCGAATGGTGACACGCTTTCTTACCCACAGCACAAGCAGAGAGCCAGCCTACCCTTGATATGCCTGGATACTGGTGAACGATGACCCCTAAATCGCAGGAAGTGCATCGTTATTTGGACAAATTTTTACTCATTTCTCCGAGTGTTCGGCCTCTGACACAAGCAGCAGCTTATAATCGCTTTGCGTTTGTCAGGGCAGTTTTCCAGACATTATTTAGTAACTTTTATGAAGAGTTGCTCGCACGCTCGCTGAGTCCTACGTACAGGGCAAAGCTGTAAATTAAACTCTATTGCGTGCTGCGTCATTCTGGTCAATTAAGAGGCACATTTGTTGCGGTGCTGAGAAAAGCTTTATTGGGTGTTACGTATTATGTTTAACAACAAACTTGTGGCAATCGTAATTTAGGGTTTGTGTGCTGTTACATATCTCAGGCCATCGGTTTGTTTGTTACTGCTGAGCCTGCATGTTTTCATTCATACACCAGTGTCAAGCATTATTTTTCAAAGTTAAAAGTTTTGTATTCTGAATAGATCATTAATCGTTAGAAATGCGGCGAAAAGACAGATCCCAATGCTCTATTTGAATTTTTTGGGGGGAATACGAGTAGTATCATTATATGCAATTAAGATGTACTCTAAGGAAAATAAACCATAGAAATTTTAAATAATTATTTCCATAAATAAATACGGATATTTATATAAGCTTTCCACTCATATTCCTCTACGCGTTTCTATGCGTATAGCACAGATTCCTCGGATGGAATTCATACCAGCATCATCCTCATCGTGATTCATCCTCATCGTGATTACATTGACCGAACTTATAGGCAAATATTGAACCGAAAATTATACAATTGATCCCTATATAACGGAGCTTCTTGTTTGACGTGTTACCAAGCGTACTAATTACCTTGTCTTTGCATTATTTAGCGTCAGGTGTCACCAGATGTGTCGACACGGAAGCTCAATTACAGCAATAGACCTGAAGGCCCAAGCAGACCTCCGGTCCTGGGACCCGCTATTAGAAATCATAGACGATTTACGAACGGCCCTCAGTTAGATATTTAATTACTGCAAATATTTCGATAATAATTTTCAGATAAGCTGCACGTAATGTATCAAATTGAAAGGCACCTAGCAGCAGACACACGAATGACAATATTAGAAATCATGGATAGTACAGGGATGATCATTGTAAAACATCATTAAATATCAACATCGAAGCGACACTAGATGCCTGTACTGTCCCGAGCTTCAGGTCTGGAGGCTCTCAAAAAGCTTTCCGATGTCGCGCCGCGTCTCACATTGGCCGAAACAAAGCATAAAAAATATCAAGGAAACATTTTTAAATGTGGACCGCTCCAAAAATTGTGAACTTGCGAGAATATGATGCAAAATTCTGTAATAATAATAAAATAATATTAGTATTTGGAATATAATATAATTACGTACAAACTTAATAATAATATTCTATTGTTATAATTTGGAATATTATATTATTATTGTGTATTGTAATATACCTGCATGACTATGATGATGTGACATTCGCCATGAGTACGTAAGACCATGCATGAGTATGAGTTAATTGGCCCATTCATTTACCATTTCGATAGAAAATTTCATGTTCGTCGGCATCTCAATCCGATCAATTGCTGTCATCCAATATGAGAAAAAACTACTTGTTTTCAGGAAGTTCTAACTTTATGGACTCTTCTGAATATATATATGCTTTAAACTTGTCAACATGAAGTTAATTACGAAATTTTTTCCATAAATGAATCACAACAACTAATTATAGATTAAGCAAACAATGCCCCAACAATGTGAGAAAGGCTGCATAAACGATAACACTTTAAATGCATCATGACTCTTCATAGCTGCCAGTTTTGATTCTACTCATTTTTTCATAAAGAAAATACTTTATTTGAATAAACGTGTGAATGGAGCACATTAAGCGCCTGAATGTATCGTAGATACGTAGCAATCAGAAGCAATGCAGAATGTATTAAAAACAAAAATTTTCATTCTCCTGCAATGCACTAAAACAATGCGAGATGGACCTGAAAGCAACGTAGAATGCACTTAGAACCAGCGCAGGACAGACCTAAAGGCATCACTGAACATGGAAAACAGCGCAATGCTGTTCTACCATTTAACGTAGAATGCACGAGAAGGCGGCGCTAAGTGTACCAGAAAGCCAAGTAGAATGCGCAAAGCCACCCTGGTAGGCAAAGTAGAATGCCACTGAACGCAGCAGCACCTGAATGCGAGGCAGGAAGCATCTGAACGCAGCCCCAGCATTCAAGCCCCTGAATTGCTCCAAGTTTTGGCTGCAATGGCGCAAGTTTTGCGTCTAATCGATGGCTTAGTCCCGCGCTCTCGTTGCATTGGGGCCCGCCATAGTACAAGCTGCATGTGTTGCTTTTCGATCAGCAACTTGGAATAGGAACAGTTACCGGAGAAGCTGAATGCCTCAAAAAGAAGCCAGTCAAAGCTTACTTCCGACATTAGATGAAGTCGTCCTATAGCTAGGAGAGCCAATGACTCAACTAGCAACAACGAGACTTCGCTGGTAGTAGGGTATGGACTTCAAATGAAGTATTCTGCCATCACATAACCGGGCGCAGTGTTCAGTAGTTGATTAAAAATCCGGAAACAGCTGAAATATTACTCCATCATACCAGACCGAAACTTAATTGTCTCTAAAATTTATTGCAAACCCGTTTCTGAAACTAATGTCTATTTTATCTCATTCGAGTCCGTGTTTGGAAAATTGCCAGAGACCTTTACGTAGAACAATATTAAATTGAATTCTTCACAAGACAATACAATGAAGAATCTAGAAAGCTTAAAAAAGGTTTTGAGCAAGAAAATGTAACTTCCAGCCAGAAAATGAATCGCTGGGAGTATTTAGAACACCGTACTCTTACGAACACTATACAATCCAATCAATCAATGGAACTACTGATTCTCTTTACCAGGGTTTCTAAGTATCTGACAATCATTGCAGAAACGAGAAGAAGAGAATTTCTATTTTATATGGTGTAAGTTCATACTTGAAGAGCGAGAAATGAAGAAAACCCACGAAAAATGCCCCTCATTAAATCGTACTTCAAAACTTGATGAGTGCTTTATCTATGCCAGTGATTAACGAATTTTTCGACTTGTTGGTCATTCCTCGCTTAGAACTTGAGGAGATTTTCACAGCTCACCCGAGTTAGTTCTGCCAAAATAACGTACGCATTGCATATCAACTTAATTAAACTGTACTGTAGTTATGTATAATACGTTAATATCAGTGGTATATAAGAAACAAATTTTTATAGTGGAAAATAGTAGAGGATCGACCACATCCTAACCGGAAACAAAATACGGTGTACATACCTCCTCACTTTATGAATGTAGGCGGCAGATACGGGGTCTCTCCATGCTCCGACCACAGCTGTCTTCTGGCTGCCGTGCAACTGCAAGCTGGAAGTTGTTAACGAGTTACCACAATGATCTGAAATTACCATAGTAATACATTTAAGGTTGAGATTATTGAAATCTCCTTTTACTTGTGGCGTTGCAATTACCGCATCTTAGCGCCGAACATTTTGCGAACCACAGAATTTACCAAAACTTAATTATGTTTACCGATGTCATTCCAAGCATGAATATAACATAAACAAAAATTTTCTAGACATTATTTTTCTATTGGCCATAATTTGAGTCCAGGACACAAGTACAGATAGACCTGAAAAACGGTCATGATTCAAAAACTACTACATGCACTGAAAATTTCGTCCAAGTTAATTTAGGTAATATGTTTACATTTGCAAGGTGTTCGAAGATTGTGGACAGTACACCTCCACAGCCGTTATTTGGTATTTCAGCTAATCTTGATATATGAGATTTAAATTCAATACTTCTTAAATTTGCAGGATGAAGATTAATAAAATTGATTAGCATTTAATTATGTGAGGAATGTGAAATTGGACCACTTTTCTTCTACCAGAGACTGGTGGCCTGTATGTATGAAGAAATTTCGTTCGAGGACGAAAAGAATTGATACCCCAACTACTTATGCTTCTCTTGAAAGCGCAAACGTGTGAGCTGTGCAAAGAACGCGCGGCACAGAAACATTAATTATTTAATGGAAACTTACAGTTTCAAGCGCACCCCGAAGCAGCGGGGAATTTTTTCTGAAAGGGGTTAGGATTGCTGGAATGATAGCAAGAAATGAATTAATACAAAATTCAAGACTAAGTTAAAGGAAATAGGATGAATCTCGTCAATAACTGTGAATATGCCTGGTACAAAGTTCTGAAAGCTATAATTTACGAAAGATATATGAATGACATTTATCTTTAAAATTCCCGAGTGGCAGAGGTGCTCGCAAGACAGTGACAGGCATTATATCAATTTGAAAATAGAATACCAACCGGCATGACACTCGAGATCCATGCACTGCAACCCACCTTCACTGGAGTAGACTTCCGTGTAGTTCCAATGACGACGCAGAGACGTCAACAAGCGACATAGAAGCCCTGCTGCAGAACAGTCAACAACATGCCACATCGCTGACGGGATCGACCGAAGAGAAAATAGCCGCTTTATATCTTTATATCACGAGCAAAAAACAGTTGCTACGGGTTACTGAACGATCAGATTACTAATAGGAGGGTGGAGAGAAGTAATTATCATGATATCGCCATGGGCATGTAGGAATCGGAGCCGTACTGCTGCTGTTTGACTGGCTGTTTTGAACTGAAATCTCGAGGCTTCGGGTTAACCTCAAGATTGCCAAATTTCGTGGTTGCAAATTGCAAGTAAACATCAGAGAAGATGTCTTCTGCTGTTAATTTAAATTTAGACATGATTAATTCAGTTGCATGAATATAAAATTTAGTGCATAAGATTCGTCTTAAAAACTTGCCGATACGTACCGCAACGTAGTTAGGTAATACGATTATTATCCTTGAAAATAAATTAAAATCAGAGTTATTTCAAATACAATGCAAAATCTAAGAGGACGACACTCATTACCACGACATCAAGCCCCAGCTGCGGCCTCAAACACCAGCAGCCTCACTCAGCCTGAGTGAGGCTCAGGCTGAGTTCATTTTTGAGTCCCATAAGCAGACCAGTAGAGTATAATAGATGCCAGCATTATCATACATAAGAAATTGATTTAAATCTTGAGTAAATGAGGAAATTAGAAATGAACAGTTTCTAAAAAATCACTGGTTTGCCGCTACAGTCCCATCCCACAGGTTTACGACAGGCCTGCCTATCCAGGCCTATCCTTCAATGCCGAAGATACTATAGTAACTATACTATGCCAACAGGTGGTTTCATCGCAAGCTCGGCTTGGTCTGGGCCAACTTTTCTTCTTAACTCGATGCTGCTAAGAGGAAATCCTCATAAAACAAATGAGCCAAATTTATTGTCATAAAATGGCTCCTTAGCGACCACTACTCAACCTTTAGCCGCTCTCTTCACTGTATTTATGACCTGCTCCTGAGGAACGCAGTTCATGCAATGTTCGCAGTATAGACGGGGCACGGGGAGTAATTTTTATAAACGCAAAGATGCAGCCTACAACTTTTAAAGCTACATTCAGTGACTTACTTCGTCGATCATTCGAACACAGATCAAAGCCAATCGTTTTAGCTGAGTGATGGAACTGGGAATTTTCACATTATAATCTCCATGAATGAGGAACTTTATTCATTATCAGTTAAATGACGAAAATAATTGTAATTGCGCATACTGCTTATTTGTTCATAAAATGTTCACAAATATTAAGAATCATCACAACCACTATACAGTATTATCCTGACAGCAACCACCGTACCAACAACTACGGTAAACGGGTAGAGTGCGCAAATGGGAAATATTTTCTCACTAGTAATTTTTATTCGAATTCATGAGTGCTACAAATCACTTTGGTATGATGTTACTTTCTCAAATTATTTTTTATCCACGTTTATTATGAATTCGCCAAAAAATTTTCAGCCTTTATTATCCCCATCAAAAGCAAGCATACCTAATGATCCTCTAGATTTAATTCTATGCAAGTATATATCCCCATGCCCTGCCTCGTCAACGATCGCCGACATTCCGTTTAAATTCTACTTCCATTACCATAGCCAAAGAATCATTTTTGCATTAACAGCGATTAAATAATAATGTTGAGAGTCGATAACCAGCCGAGTTTTCGTTAGTTTTCCGATTCAAGCTGGATATATGAAATTATATAAAATTTCATTAGAATGCTGAATTTTTCATTAGAGGATCAAGATTAAACTCTTTTTGACATAAACATGATTGTTTTGTAAGAATATTTCTTATGGTTTGAATATCTCTGTTTTTTCTCCCTCTCCCACTCTTTCTACAACCAATTTTTTTGTTTCTATTTCTAGTGATTTTTTTTCTCCCTAGATAATTGTACAAATTTTTCTCATTGTTTGCTGGAGTTTTAGTTATTTTGTCTCACTTATTTAACATATTTTTATGGACATTTGGACTGTACGTGTGCATAGCAAATTATGGCCAATATTCCTTGAACGCGGACTAGCGAAATCCTGTCGGTCGCGCAGCTGTCTCGGCGCTGAAAAATTGCATAAGAATTACTCATCGATAAATATTATTAAGAACGATTCAACTGATTTTATAATCAACCTGTTTATCAGTAAAAAATTGTTCTAAAAAGGCTACGTTACTCGTTAGAAAATTCAAGTGAGTACTTACTTTTCTTCGTTTAGGTTTAGGCAATAAAGTAAAAATTTCTGTTAGCCTAGAATAGAATGAGAAATCCCCAACGGTCAACCATTTACTTTAGGTTTTTCCTAGCCTCCTAGGCTTTCCTTCCTTTCCTAGGTACCTACCTATAAATATACAGGAATTAGAATTTCTCAAGCTTGCCCAAGCAAGTACAACAAATTGTCAGATGGGATTACTAATTACTATTACTTGGCACTTTTTTTTCAAAATTTTTATGTCTTGGAACATAGGCTAGTGACAAACCAGATATTTTTCAGAATCAATTCATTTTTAATTTCTTAATTTTCTCAAGATTTAAACCAATTTCTTATGTAAGATGATAATGGTAGGATCCATGATACTTTACTGGTCTACTTACACTTAGACTTTAGTCTTTAGAGCACTCAAAAGTCAAAAATGAACTTGAGGGAGAGTCTAAAAAACTCTCTGCTTTGCCAGTTGCCACTACCATAATTATCCATAAAAGGTGCAAGGGGGCCTGCTGCCTGGGTTAGTCTACTTAGACTCCTGGTGCCGCGCATAGTGGCAAAGCAGGGAGTTTTTTAGACTCTTCCTCAAGTTCATTTTTGAGTCCTATAAGTATTATACCACTACCAGTAAGCAGTAAAGTAGGTATCATGGATTACCAGCATTATCATACATAAAAAATTGGTTTAAATCTTGGTTAAAAGTTAAATGAGAAAATTAAAAATGAACTGATTCTAAAAAATCTTTGGTTTGTCACTGTGCTCCTGGGTTAACTTAGACCACTTTAATTTTTTTAAACAAAAACCCCTACAAAAAACTAAAAAACTATTTGACATAGAAAAATTTTGTCAATGGGCATTAAAGGCCTAATAGGCCTAGGCCCCATTTTCAGGAAGATGTGCCAGGTGCGTGGGAATTAATATTGTTACTTAATTAATGTGCATGGTGTGCCGTACTATGCCGGTAAAAAAAATGCGCCATGCGCATGATGTGCGGCACTCCTAAAAGGCTGAAATAATGTAAATAATGACGCGTGATAACGCTATCACACACCGTACACGCAAATGTATATCCACATTGTGTTCCGGTTGGATATGAGTTGACTAGATTGCTAACTCGTCAACCCAGGTAAGAAGATTCTTTTATAGATTGCAATTCGAGCGGACATGAATCACATAACTAAAAATGGCAACATCGCGTGAGATGTGCCATAGGTGCCTTCTAGTGATTGACTGGTTGTGGCAATTAGGGTACAAACCTGTATGTCAACATCAGGACTACTTTCCTGATATCCTCCTGGCTGGTGAAATAGACATGATCAATACCTAATAACAACGAGCGCAAATGGACTATATAAATAGAGTCAATATGACATAGGTACCGTAAAATAGGGTAACTTAGACTCCCGGGATAACTTAGACCACTTTTAGTTTTTCTAAAAAAAAACCCTCAAAACTTAAAAACTATTTGACATAGAAAACTTTTGTCAATGGGCATTAGATGAAAAATAATAATATAAAGATAAAATATAATAATATAGAGATAAAATATAATAATATAAAGATGAAAAAATTATGCATATCTAAAAATGAAAAATGTGACCCATGAAAAAGAGCTATTATTTAAAGCTTGTCGTAAAACCCCCTCCAATTTTTTTTATTTTTGAGTAAATAACTCCAAGTTTTGGTGCATTCACTGCATTGTAGTAGAACTCAGTTACATATGCAAATGACAAATTTGAGGAAAGTGTCATAGTTTGCAAATGGGGGGCACTGCCCCTGAAGGGGGGAACTTAGACCTTTCTAATGGGGGAAGAGACAATGGGGGGTCCAACCACTCTTGCACATAGTTCTGCAGCTCACTAATGGGAAGAGACACTCCTATTTTCTCCACCCCATGATCCCCTTAATGCAATTTACAATAGTACACTAAATTTCTCTAATCAAAAAGTTCAAATGGTTATTTTGAACAAAAGATGAAAATTTTGACCAAAATACTACTACATGTATACTTATGCACAATAAAATATTCATTTAAAAACTGTTTTTGATAAACTATGGGGTAAGAGAGGACCATTTGTAGGGTGAGACAGGACCATTTGTGGGGTAAGATAGGACCACTGGTGGGTCAAAACAGGATCATTTAGTGGTCCCGTCTTACCTCATGTCCAGTCCTTATTTACCCCACTTTAGAATACATGTCAGGCAGTGATGGTAGCAGGCAGGAATGCCTAGTATATATGTCTCAAAAGTTGCTTATTATTTGAGGTTACCTGCCTATATCCACAAGCCTGGCCAAAATATTTTTTGTCATTAGACAGAGCTATTTCCTAAATAGGGTCAACTATTTTGTGACCCTTCTTTACATAGGTTTTCTTTAAAAATTACCCAAAAATTCATTATTTGCAGAACAGGGTTGAACTGAAAAGACATGCAATGATTGCACTAACATATTTTTCCATCAAATTAAATAAAGTGCGATTAGAATGCATGCCATGGGCTGGTCCTTTCTTAACCCTTGAAGGCTGTGATCCTGTCTTACCCCATTTGACTATTTCTGCTACCCACTTCAATAGGTATTTTTCATTTGCTATTGGTTGGCTTCAGCAATTTAATATGGGAAAATTCCTTGTTATTACTAAAATCTTGCTGCTCTAAATTGATGATTTTTTAATAACTTTGGTTACCGGTACATGGCTTCAGCAATTTAATATGGGAAAATTCCTTGTTATTACTAAAATCTTGCTGCTCTAAATTGATGATTTTTTAATAACCATGGTTACCAGTACTTGTCTCTTGTGGCTTGATTCGTTTTTGTTAACATTAGATTATAGATATTGCTGTATTTTAGGCAATAATCTAGAAAAATTGGCAGGAAAAAAATCCAAAAAAAGGCAGAAAAGCTCTAGTCATTGCTTGGAGGATAGATAAATATTCTACAATATATATCTGCATCAATTGTAAATTGCATATTATGGTAAAGTGTAATTGGCAATGGATGTCTCTGTCACTTTCATACTTGGTTGTCTTATGTGCCTCACTCACAGTCTAGTAGTGGTTGATGAGACTTCATGGCTTCCAGTTCTTGATTTGATGGTACTTGATGCTTACCTGGTCTACTAATAGGACTCCAAAACTAAAGGGCAACTGAAAAAGTCTCTTGTTTGCTGCCATGCAGAGTAATGAATGAATTTGGTATACAAGTTTTCTGATAACATTCTAGATTTCTGTTAAATACTACTATGTCGTTTTCAAGAATGGTAACAATTTGAGTGAAATGTTGTTTCATGTGGCTGTAGGTACCTATGTCATGTGGCATCTTATTTGTTATCTTCATTTTGTGTAAAATTGTTATGTTGTCAATTAAATTTTTTTATTAGAGATAATCAGCAAAAGTTTGTTTATAAAACTTGGTTTTAATGCTAATCTTGCAAAGCTGAATTTTAACAAGAAATATGTTATTTTTTGCTCTACAATTCATTTACAGTTTTGCAATGCATTTAATTTTAATATAACTTGTAAATAATTCACCAACTAATTCCATTCTACAATATTCAGGATGTTGTCCAGGAGGCTGCTTCAAAAGAGGGAATGCTGGCATCAACTCCAGTCCTATGCATCTGTTCTACCTCCCTGCTCTCACCTTACTCAATATTCCACTTCCAGACACTGCAAAAAGTATGAGAAAAAGTTGTTAGAGAGTAATTTTACTTTGTCTCATCCTCATTGTAACTGGCAAAAAATCTCAACTATTGCCAAAGAAGATGTTAAAGAAGATGACAGAAATGCTGCTGCCACTTGGATTACTGATGACAACTCTGCTCTTGAGAAGCCAACCATCTCACAAGGCATTGAGTCAAAAATAAGAAGAAATGGAGCTTTCAGACCAAGATTTCACAGCTACCAAATTCCTTCAAGTGCACACCAGTCACATCTTTATTCCAATCACAATTTAACAGGAATAAATAATAATTCACTGAATTTAGTTAGAACTTCCCGCCCCGGAATGCTGGGTGTTGCAAGGCCCATTGGTTTTTTGTGGGATACATATTCACCTTCTCACTCCTCCCTCGCTATATCAGCACAAGGCCCTGCTAGCCCATACCAAGACTTATCAAACTCCAATGAGCTAACGGTTAGCATCTCCAATTTCAATCCTGAAATTTATTTTACCTATGATTCAGATCTCAGAAATGGATTAATTTCAAAAAGGTTTTTCCATACAACCACATGCTTTCTAGACTCCAAACCTCCATCTTCTCAAGTGGAAGTTACTGTCAATGCCTTGAAAGAGAAAGCTGAAAGTCTGAATCAAGAGAAGATAGCAGCCAGTGCCAGCAAGGATGCAAGTCAAGCTCCTATTGTTACAACCGCTGCTGCAATGCAGAATGAAGTTCCCACCGCTTCCCCCACGCGATCCGAGACCATAAACCTAGCTATTGCTAAATCAGCTCCTCCTCTGCCTTCTGTTGTTGCAGAAAAGAAGTCTCTGTGGACTCGTATTAAAGCAGAGGCAGTTCATTATTACCATGGCTTCAGACTGCTATTCATTGACACCAAAATTGCACTGAAGTATTGCTACAGAATTCTGAATGGTGAAAAGCTGTCAAGAAGAGAGCACAGACAGGTTGGTGAATCTGCTTCTTCGTGCTATGCAATTTAAAATTATCTTGCTCACTCTCTTTCTGTTTTAAAATTTGTAATAGTCAATTCTTTGAAAAAGAGCATTAAATTAAGCGAATTTATGCACTAAGGGACATTGCAATAACTAGAATATATTATATTGGTACCTATATTAATTAAAATGAACTTATTTATATCATTTCTTTAGATTAAGTATTTTGTTAGCTCTGACATAGTTTTGTACTGATCGTTTTGTTTCCAGTTGGTGAGAACTACTGGGGACTTATTTCGTTTGCTGCCCTTCTCTGTGTTCATCATTGTTCCCTTCATGGAGTTTCTGCTGCCCGTGGCCCTGAAGCTTTTCCCTGGCATGTTGCCCAGTACCTTCGAGACTGCAAATGAGAAGGTAATTTTTCTTTATAGTATAGGTAACTTAACTTTTTTACCTTTCAGAAGTTGGCTTGGAACAAATAAAAATTTTCTAAATGGTTAAGGAAGGAATAAACATATCTCCTATAAAATGAACCTTCATATTTGCAGTAGGTACCTTTAATACTGCAAATTACTTGGAACAACACAAAAACTTTGAATGGATAATGAAAGCATAATTCAACTCTCATATAAAGCCAACTTAACTTTGCATTTCTATTGTTCAGGAGGCAAAGATGAAGAAACGTTTGAAAGTGAAACTGGAGATGGCAAAGTTCTTGCAAGAGACGCTCGACAGCATGTCTCTGCAGTCCAAAGACCACCACTCCAAAAGTGCTCAAGAATTCGTACTATTCTTTGAAAAGGTGAGAATTTTGTCTGTGCCAACTAGGTACGTATTCTTATTATTCACTTTTGTGTGGGCTTCTTATGAACATAAATTTAAATACATAATGGCTACTTGATTTAGGCAACAACCGATTTACACAATATTTGGTATAAATCACATCAAACTCAGCATTACCTTATACTCTATCTGTGTGATTAGGTGCTGCATTGGACTGATTATTATAGGTTTTTTTTAGATTGATGCTTAGATGTGACACGTGATCTTACGTTACAAGGTACGACGCACAGGAGAGGTAGTGAGCAATGAAGAGATCCTCAAGTTCAGCAAGCTGTTCGCCGACAGCATCACCCTGGACTCACTGTCTCGCCCTCAACTCACGGCGCTCTGCCGGCTGCTGGAGATGCAGACTTTTGGCACTAACAATTTCCTCAGGTTCCAGCTGCGTATGAAGCTCCGCTCACTCGCTGCTGACGATAAGGCGAGTCACAATCTCTAAAGTTGATGAATATTTCAGTGACGAAGTGAGTAGTAAATTTTGTAACATGCCTAAAAACGAACAGGTCATTTTAAAAATGACTCTCTTAAAAATGTTCGTTGTTGACTTGTCATAAATATTTGAAGGCGAATTACCGTAGTCACTTTTCAATTACCTATAATAGTCAGAGAAGCAATGAAGTTATGTTCTTGCAGTTGATCGCTGTGGAGGGAGTGGACAGCTTGTCATCGTGGGAGTTGCAGCAGGCGTGTCGGTCTCGAGGCATGAGAGCTTACGGCATGACGGACACCAGACTCAGGGTTCAGCTGCAGCAGTGGCTCGAGCTCAGTCTTGATAAGAAGGTTACTGGTTCCCTGCGTTTCCTATTGAATTTAACTGTAATTTAACTCTGCTCATTCATCTAAATTTTGTTTTAGCTGTGGTGAAAAGCATTTAATTCAAGTTTTGTACTCACACCGATTTTTAATTCAAGTAAGTAAGATTTAAACTCCGTACATTATGCATTATTAACGTCAGGAGGCAAATCACCAACCGTTTTTCCCGAATTTCACGAAGATGTTTTCCCTAAAAGGTTCCACCATCGCTGCTGTTGCTCTCGCGCACGCTCTACCTGCCAGATACTCTGGACGCAAACGCTTCACTTGCCGCCACCATCTCGCAACTGCCCGACGAAGTGAGTGGCCTACGTGCAATATTAAAGTTATTTAATGCTTTTTTGGATGTTATTTTATCAGTGCATAAAGTATTGATAATTCTGGCTAATCAATTAATTTTTTAAGGGATATTCATTCCTGAATAAAGTACGTAGATGTAAATTGAGGATGCCCACTACCAATAAAATGAGGCAATTTCATGCAACGAATTTGGATGATTGTAAAATTACTCATCTCCATATATAGAGAGCCAGACGTGGTATGCTCATGGTTGAAAATTAGGAGCATTGCATACGCTCATGCTCTTTAATTCTTGAGGAGACACCATACTGAGACACAGATTTGGTTGAATTGGAACATTGCAGCCTATAAATCTTATGGTTTGTTTCAGATCAAAACACGTACGAAAGCTGCTATTGGCAAGCGTGAAGGAAAGATCGACAACCGAACACGCCTCGAAGTGATCCAAGTGGAGGAAAAGCGAATCGAGGAAGACAAGAAGGACATGCAGGAGGAGAAGAAGAAGAAAATGCTCGAAGAAGCCAAAAAGATGGGAGAGGTGAGGGTGGACTATCACGAGGAGGTGAGAGCCGGTGTTGGGTGACAGACATGCCGTGTGGCCTGACATGCCGTGTGGCCTGACATGCCGTGTGATCTGACATGCCGTGTGAACTGACATGCCGTGCCGTGTGACCTGACATTCCGTGTGTTCTGACATGCCGTGTGACCTGACATGCCGTGTGGCTCGACATGCCGTGTGACCTGACATGCCGTGTGGCCTGACATGCCGTGTGACCTGACATGCCGTGTGGCCTGACATTCCGTCTGACCTGACATGCCGTGTGGCCTGACATTCCGTCTGACCTGACATGCCGTGTGGCCATTGCCTAGGAGCGAATAAGCCGATCTCTGAGTAATTTAACCTTAGCTGGTTATGTGCATTATGGTAAGGGTCTAATTGAAGCTTTGATCACCTCATGATGTCATCTGCCAGCATTGAAAACTTGAGAAATTGAATAATTTGACTGCGGAAATTTCAAGTGATTATCCTTTGAATGACTTCTGCACTAATTCTGCATGCAGAGATTTTTTAAATATTATTATTTTCCAGAGATAAGTTAATCGTTGAATTATTTTTTCATGAGATTTCCGCTTCATGTCACGTCTTGGATATAATTTACTTAGATCGGCTTGTTCGGTCGCGCTGCAGTTGTTCATCATATATTAACGAAGCCAACTCCACTACTTGTCAGTGAAGATTTTTGTGTTTACCTGTTAGTTTTGTTATACCATTGACACGCGTTCAAAATAACACACCTACTAGAATCATTCCTTCAATCGAATAATTTAGCTTCTTTGTAATCGGTAGCCTTTAGTTGTTGAATGTATAGACTATAGAGGATGACGAGGGAACCTGGTGCTTGTTTTTTATAATTTTCATTGTGATTCAAAAGATGCCCGCCATATCTCGACTTACTGGATAGTTCACATGTAGAGACCCTTGAATCATTTAGGGTAGTAGAACGCCATTGAATAATGCTTATCTGCTAGCATCAATGTTAAAATTTAGGCACATGTATGCTCAGAGGATTATATGTGGTTTGCATATCAAAAGGTACATGGTTTTTTTCAATAATAACCTCATCTCGATCTGATATTTAATACCAAGGTTGTAGCATATACGGTACCGTACATCCATAGCTATCACTAGCAGATCGAAAATAATTGATACAAATGTCGAACAAAGATTGGCATGGATTGCCCAGTTGAAACTGCACTAGGCAACATAAATACAACATGAAGTACCTACAAGAGTTAAACTAGCTTTACTTCAACTCAGAACTAGGGGAGAGTTAATTCCCAAGTTGGTTCCAGCCACTTGCAGTGAGATGGACAGCCTATAACAAAGTTTTAAAATATCAAATTTTTATTAACAGAAACCGCTTGTAGAGTTTTTGTGTTGATTGTGAAGATTTCTAAAAATTTGTTTCGTCTTCTTTTCCCCAGTTACTACTAATTTATGTAACCTTATTTAGTGCCTCACCTTAGTAAAGGCTAGGGCCATACTGATCTCCCTTACTTTGATCTTTTTGTAAGTACCTATTAACTTAACTTTTTCTATTAAGTAGTGACCGGAAATACGTAATTCCATTTTTTTAAGAAATTGCTTTTTTTTCATTCTACATGGTTGTCTTTTAATTTTAAAAATTATAATAATAATTAGTCACGTTTTGGTCTTATTGTTAGTTATTACGATTAGCTTCATATTAATTCGGTTTTTCGGTTCCATGAACGGAAATATTCTATAGACTCACTTGAGAGCTTTCATTAAAAAATCAGCATTTGTGTTTTACCTTTCCATTCTCTGCCTCTTCCAGCTACCTATGTTCTTTATTATTTTTTATAAGTTTTCATTCTGAAAGTCTAGGAATGATGGAAATTATTTAAGTCCGTATGTATACATTCTTAAACTTCTTCCCATCCCAAGAATTCAGTTCGTTAGACATCATACTATTTGTACATTGGTGCACTGGGTTCTTAAAGATTACTGCGAAGAACCACCTACGGAACCAAATTCTTATGCAATACGTTCGCGATTTGCCACGCTTTGAAATAACGAGTGTGTGTGGCAGTTGTACCATTTACAGCTTATCTTACCGACATTTTTGTACCATAGATTAACGAAAATTTGGCACATAATAATGAATGAGAATGATCAATGCATCAGCAGTGGTCGAAAATATTTGACTGACGATTCATTTTAGTGACTGACATATCCTGCCTTACACGATGTCTCAATTGAACCCTAATACGTTTACTTTACTTTATACTTCACTTTACTTTACATACTTTAATAAAAAAAATACGTTGGCTGAAGTGTACGCATTAACGCCTACTGCGCCCTCAGCTCGGCATCGGAGAGGCGGAGGTGGTGTCCGTGGCCCCGGCGTCACCTGCAGTCGGCGCTGCTGCTGCTGAGGCCGTCGTCGCGCAGGCTGTCAAAGTGACCAAGGCTACCGTCACCCCCGCCGGCGAAATAAAGGCAATTATTATTCTATTATTAATAGCTACTGTATATATTCTGTGTAGGCTAACCATTATTGGGTTTGCATTGCTTTTGATTGATTAATTTCATTAGTATACATGTGTGTCAGTGATGAAAATGTTATAAAGGATTCGTAGGTAGAGGAATCGTTCTTAAAATTCTAAAATTATTTACCTTTTTCAGGTGTCAGTATCGAGTTATTAAGTGGACATTAATGGAATTGAGTATAATGTTAGACCGGTTGTACCAATTCTGATGGGGCTGACTAGTATATTCCTTCTAGTATCCTCCTTTGCATCTCCCATTATAACCATAATTAAATCGTATAGAGACGGTTAAAATATTGTACCAAATGCTATTATGGTGTAAAAATCCTGCTAAATGGTTTCAAAACAATATACATGTTTGAAAATTATGTTCAAAATTGCATTAGATTCACGAAAAAATTTTCATATCAACTACAATGAACCGGACATGCGTAACATATATAAAAATATTGGTTTATTTGGGCTGGAGTAATTCCTTTATGCAAGTTAACAGAAGACTAGAATTTTGTTATTATTAACAGAAAACTTTCTCTGGGCTCCGATCAAACTTGCATAAAGTATAGAAGGGTATAAGTATATTTACTGCTCGAAGAGCCTGTTTATACTTAACGAAGTGAATGATTGTGCCGCAGGAAGACAAGGAAGAGCTCGTTGACCGCGCCCCTGTGCTGGTGGACACTGCCGAGGAGCTGCGCCTCGAGAGAGAGGATCAGGAGCTTAAACTTGCTGACCACAAACTCGCGGAAGAGAAGGCCAAGAAGGAGAAGTCTGAAGAGGTAAAAACATTTGAGAGTTCGAAACTTTGAAACTCCATCAGCCAATCACTGACAGCTTATCAAGCTAAACTCGCCAATCACAATCGAGAAATCGGCTGCTAGCATAGGTACTTCGGCCACTACGTGTATTTTAACTATTATTAGCGCATTTTCTCATTTACGGAAAAAAGCTATTGTGCTCGTCATGTCCGTCTGTCTGTCCGTCTGTCCGTGACTTCACGTTTTCGTCGACGAGTAAATGCGCTCTCTGTCACTCACTGCAGTGAGTACTGAGTTATATTTTATGTACTTTAGCGAGTTTTGATAGTACGGCCCAAAAAGTAACGAAGTACGAGTATTAACCTATTAATTATAAATTTTAATTGCGTGCAGCTAAGCAGCGAAGATTTGGCTGAGGTTGAGGAAGCCCTCGAGACGCTAGGGACGAAGCAGCGGCGCCTGCTGATCGAGGAGCAGGAGCTGCTCGACATCAAGGACGAGCTACGCGACTACCAGGAGGACATCGAGGACTTCAAGCAGGTACTGCCTTCGCCAAGCTGTGGTCAGGATTTTGATTTTGGGCGAGGTCATTTAGGTTTATAATACAGGTCACCGTTCGCTAAGTGTGAATCATTTTGGCGGATTCCGGTTATTTCCATTAGATTACAAGGAAAACTCGACCAAGTTCGTTAATTTGACACTCGAATATATTTATAACTATCCAAATGTGAATAATTTACGTAAATTTTTAATTTTCGGTTGAGGAGAAATTTAATTTTTAAATTTCGATTGAGGAGTTGATTTGATCAAAATAGTGTTTTTTCTTCGAGTATATCGAGGTTATTCTCTGAAATTATTAAATTGTAGCTGTAGGTTATGTATTGGTACCGCATTTGATTATGAATGTAGGTTTCGTATTGGTGGTACTCAATTTTGTTGTTGTAGATTTTGTATTGCATTAAATTTTGTGATTTTTGGCTTTGTATTGTTATTTAATTATGATTGGCAGGTTGTAGCGCAATTCCCCGAGCGCACGGACCTGCGCGAGAGCAAGGCAGCGCGCCGCCTCTTCGCTAAGGTGAACCGCCTCATCGCCAAGACGGAGCCTGTCATCGCCGCGCTCAACGCCAAGACCGAGGAGATGCATAAGGTCGTCGAGGCTGGACAAGCCACCAAACTCCAGAAGTGAGTGCATCACTTCTTGTCTTTACTGGATTTCTATAATGGGACTCTATTTACCTACCACATATAGGGACTATATGGGACTATATAACTGAGGCTTGGTCCAAAAGTAATGCACTTTTTGTCCTTGTGTGTGTGTCGTCCTATCCAGTTGTGTATTTATACTGAGATTCTCTGCTTTTCACTCAGAGTAATAACTGAGACCTCGTCAATTTTTTGTCCATCTGTGCGTCATCCTAGCTTATTTGGCCAGATTAAAGGGCATGTAGGTGCTATCTGCGTCCGCCCTCTGCTCGAGCTGTGGAAAGAAAGTGTGTCGCCCTTTAAGAAGAATGATTCGTTCATTTTCCTGAGTGCATATGAGAATTTCTTCTTTACGATTATAGGAAAATCAGAAGTAGTCCCGTCGGTAACTGATGTCAAATCTCTAATGTCGAAATTCAGGTCGAATAGTAATCATGTGTGTTTTTCTTCGAATTTTGATACATGTTGAATCATTTAGTAGCTGTTATAAATTTATAACATCACCTTCAAAAAAGATCCGAAAAATTAATCCAGCATAGAAGATTTAAACCTGCTTCTGCTCTGTAAAGAGTTCATGATTGATCAAACTTAGTCCAATAGGTATCTAAGAAATTCCAAGTATTTCGTAATGTAATTTATCCATAACCTTGAATCACTATATATTAACATTATTATATTTATGTAATAATGTAATTAAAATTATTATTTATAGTATATTTTATTAGTCATGTATATGTATAATTTCACTGCAATTTGATTGCAAGACAGTACGACGCTCATGAACCTAGAGAACCTGGTGAACCACTTACGTCAGGTTCCAGTATTATGTTCTAGGTTCTGTAACGTTAGGTTATAGTGTTTTGTTCTAGGTTCTAGTGTTATGTTATATATTAACAAGTCATTTGTCACTCAATAATTTGATTGCACGACAGGACGACGCTGGTGAACCTGGAGGACCTGGTGACGCACCTTCGTCAGGTCGCTGACGCGCCGGACTCGGCCAAGCTGCAGGTCATCATGGAGGTCCTCTCCACCATGGACACCGACAACGACGGCTCCATCAAGGTCGGTCATTACTTTGCTTTAAAATATTTATAGTTGTTTAATCAAGTATTTGGATTAATTACCTGCTTGTTTAATTATCATGGACGTGACATCTGGCTATCAAGGTTGACCAAGCTATTAAGATTCCTTCAGAATATCTAGTTGTTCGTAACGTTTCTTTAAAATTATTATTGCGTATTGTCAATGATATGTTATTCGGTTTAATTAACTATTAGTTGATTTCTCATGGCCTTTACTCCCGCAGCTGGAGCACATCCTGAAGACGATCGAGCTGTTATCAGAGGACCAGGTTGAGGTGCCGCGCAAGGTGTTCGAGGAGGTGGTGCAGGCGATGGCGAAGGAAGAGCAGCTCGAGACTAAGACCGTCGTACAGACCGCCATCAAAGCCGTCGCTGCCTCCAAACTTGGTGCCGACACGCCTCCTGCTGCTCTTGATGCTCCAGATGCTGGAGTTGCTGAGCAGAAGCAATTGTAGAATATTGCACGGGTATCTTAGGATAGAAAACGATGTAAAGTTTAAATTGTAACGCTTCCGCTGCCCGAATTTGATATGTTGCCATCAATGCTAGTGCATCTGAAATCCCTGAACAGACACCTGTGTTAAAAGTGTATCGGTGTTGGATGTGATGAACACGAGTCAGTTCGAAACAACTTTCATTTTCCGTGTTGCCAATGAACGAAGGGAAGAGCAAGTCACCTCTGCATGCAACCTGATAACGTTGTTGTCGTTGTTGTTCTCGATTGTGTTATGCAGAAAGTAGTGTAAAATAGTAAAATACTATATTTTTGGTTGTGCAGAACGAAAACAAAAGCCGTTGCTCAAGGCCATGTCATTTAAGCATTGGTACATTTTGAGCTCAACTTGTTCGAGTTTCAATACTACTTAAATGTATAGCAGTTCAGTGTCGCAGTTGAATGCAAAATTTCAGCAAGCACCTACTATATCATCTACCTTCAATGCCACACAAGTCGCCACTCAGCAGCTACTGCACTTAACTTGCCGCTTGTCAATAAATAATAAATTCGTATGATACTGGGCAGAATTACGATTTGTAGGGTTAGATTGCCAAATTACATGTAAGAAGCTTGTAAAGTTAGTTGGTTTGACGGTATGCAGATGGAGGCAGTCTATTGTATTTTTGCTTCTCCGTTTTCATTTGTAACATCTGAATAAAATTAAGAGAAGTCGCAATTGAAAATTCCATGCTATTAGCGTTTTCCTAATTTGTTCTTCATTCAATTTTATTTGTCCGACCTTGAAAAGTTTTGTGTGTCATAAATTCAAGCTTCCCTTCAAAATCTGGAAGTTTATTGACCTTTGCCGCCCTTCTGATGCTATAGCGCCGATGTTGCTACTAATAAATGTTTCGTTTATTACAGTTTACCTTACTTGGTAACTTTTTGCAAGCAACATTTTTATTTAAAATTTGTGTCTGCCACAATTGGCAGGTAATCGAGCAAAATTTCTCTTGTAAGCTGCGGTTAAAATCTCATTGTTTGCAATCAAGCCTGCCATTAGATGACATGTCAAACGTTCCTGGCTTATTATTGATAAATACTAGTACGTGTCATGAATGGAAGCAACTCTTTATTAATTAATCCTAAAACAATGATAATTTGAGTAACATATGTCAATGTAAATTATCACATTATATGTATATACAATATCGCCACTTGTATTACAACGCTTGAGGCTCTTGCAGTTAGGCGATCGGCCTGTTCGAAATACTTAATTACAAATGCTTTAGGATCTCATTTAGAAATTCTTCTATTACTAATCTATAGAAGGTACAACTCACCCCGAGTGAGGCTCAAACTTTGAGGTTTAATACAGACAATACAATTTTCTTGCTGTTTTCCTGTGTTAACTGTTGTTGTTCGGTGTCATCCTCGGGTTATATTTATTTGATTCTATATGGTACTGGGTGATTATATATACCCTCATCGATTCTCGTTTCACTGTCGCATTTTACTTTGATTTATCCTCATTTTTTTGTGTAGTGTTATCGTTGAACACCCTTGCCTTAATTTTAATTTATTATTTGTGCTTTTGTTCAGATATTTTGTTGATCTTTTTCGTCTTCACTGTGGTATTTTTATTTTTAGGAATCTAATGTATTGCGCTTTGTTGTCTGTCCTGACTATTCATATTTGAATTGTATACAATGTTTCCAAAAATTCTCCTGAGATTTACCGAGCACATTTCGGTGCGCTTTTGAAAATGAAACTTCTACAATATATTAACGTCTTCATTACCTGACTGCTGTAGGTGCTTTCGGGGTCTTATGAGATACTCTCAACTGTCGAGGCTTGAGTCTCTGCTTTGTGTTGAAGCTCTCCTGGACTTGGGAGGTAATCGAGCAAGCTTTCTCTTGTAAGTTCCGGAGTGTAAAAGTTTAAAATGCTCATCTGCGAATAAATCCTTGTATTATAAAATCGTTATCTTACTTGAATATTCTAGTTGTTATTCATTTCCCTTAAATACGAAAATAATTTTTTCATTTTCATTATTTTCAAATGCTTCCCAGTCTCTGCGTGCAGATGTGAAGTCTTTTTTTCACGCTTACAAATTATTTCAATTATCTCGTCAGTTCCGGTAATCTTAAATTCGTTTTCTCTTACTTACTTTCTCTCTCTCTTACTTTCTCTTTCTTACTTACACACATTAGAATTAATTAATTTGAAAAAATTTATCATCGTTTCCTTTTAATCAGAAATTTATTTTAAAATTATGTTAGTTTTGATTTCTATTTCGTTGACCTCTAAGGACAGACGAGTATAACTTGTCTACTAATTAAACCATTTTGTCATCTGTTGACCTTATATCGTTGACAGTATTCTTCGTTCCCCGTTTTGTTTATCAAGATATATTAATAATGATCAATAATGTCTAAAATAATCATCATGAAGTGTAATTACTTGCTATCTTCTTACATCAAATCGAGATATTACATGCGCCGAATTTTTTCTCTTCCCATGTTGCCGGGACTGAATCCATCTCGGTGAGTTTTATACCAGAAATGTATATTTTTATGATATCTTGTATTTTCCCGTGCCCAATTTCGCATGAATTTTGTATTCGTATACTAATACGTACATTCGTTATCTCCCTTCTCAATATCCACGGATTTCTCCTATTAGTTGCAGGAGGTTAAGCGTTATAACAACAGCGATGATCTCTGCGTCTTGTCTCAATTTTGCATTTATTCCTAATTACGTTTACGTATAATATGGTTTTCCTTTTTTTGTTGATTTTTAAAATCTAAACAGAGTCCAAGATGACCTGAATATTAAAAGGTAATTTCACTACAGCAAATCCGGGCTCGCTGGTTCGAAATGAACTAATAGATCACATAAATACTACTGAAATAATTATCGCGTATATTTTCGTATTGTTATTAATTGTCATGTATCTGAAAAATGTTTCATTTGTTCTTCTATTTCGCCATAACTTTAGAAGTTTAATTGCTTCTAAGCTATCGCTTTTATTCAAATGTGAAAACCGAGCTTATTAGCTTCAAGCCTTTACACATTGATGCACGCCCAGGGTGCCAACTGTCCGACTAAATTATATGACTTCATACTATATACAATTATACGTACAACTTAAACTTCAAGTATGTATATTCACATGCGCTCGACATGGCTTACAAAGTTCATAATCGACTTACATTCAAATTAAATTTATATAATTATGTACATAAGTCTAAGTGGTATTCACATGCACCACTGCCGTCTGGAATCGGTTGGTTAAAGGTTTGGTGACATGTAACGTGATTCAATATAAAAAGATCTTATTTTCCGAACACCACAGAACATTAATTGTCTGCATGTATGTGATGAGCGAAAGTCGACTCGACTGACCATTGCATCACCTGGCCATTTTTTCCTTTATTATAGAAACGTTGACGGCATTTAAAGAATAATGGCTGATCTTTAATGATGACTTTTTGTATGGAAATTATTCTCGGAAATCCTTCTCTTTCTCTTACGGTTCTCAAGGTAAAATGGCGCCTCTTTTCTTAGTAAATACGCCAGGAACTGTGGCTAGTTGCCGCCATCTTGTCCTTCATGAGTCCTGTAGTTGTTATTGACTTCGTTGAACCACAATAAAGAAATATATATGCCACGGCGTTTTTTATTTTGATAACTCAAATCATCTTAGCTTCGCAATGAACGAGATATTGATCGTAAATGTCCACCCTGTAATATTGGGCAATCGCACACAAGCCTTTCATCTGCGAATAAATCCTTGTATTATAAAATCGTTATCTTACTTGAGTATTCTAGATCTAGATAGCTAGCTTATTTATCGTTGCTTACTGTTTTTGTTGAGACTTCAATTAAAATTTCAATTTATTATATTCATGATCGTTTTTAAAAATGCTCCTGCTATTCCAACTCCGAACTCTAAGGCATAAATATTTAACTATGGTAAATAATAAGGGAAGCAATTCCGACGTTTCATTAAATATTAAATTCAATTATTAGATATTGAATGAAATTATTAAATATGAACGCAATTTCTAAGCTATGAAGACATCATTGTCATCTGCAAGGAGCGTGCCAGCCGTGCTACAGCTCGCGTGCCAGAGCGCTGCTTCCAAACGATGCTTTAGTAGCGGCGGCAGGCAGATAATCTACGGCAGCTGCTCGCCTAACATCGCAACGCCTCTAAAACTGTCTGCCCTGCCGGACGTAAATTCCCGGCCCGTGTCTTATCAAAATAGCCTCTAGTTTGTTGATCCAACTGGAGAACAACGAGTTGTTGCGTGAGTTGAATTGCACACTTAGTTTTTGACGTTTAGATGAGTTCAAACACTAGGTGCAGCTGTGGCGACGTATTTTCATTTGATTCAATATTTCGTTCCAAGTCGGTTAGATGTGAAACCTTAAATTAATTGCCTGAAATAGAACCATGTATCAAATGCACGGCTAACGTTGACTTCCTCCCCTCAATTTCGCGGTACTGAGTTGCAACTGCCTGGTTGATCTTCAATTATTTGAACTGCTTAGAATGTTCTATTGGGCTTCAAGTAATTAAGGTTGTTTAATGTTAATCTCATGCCATTTCATTTATTATCTAATTGTTTCAATTGTCAAAGCCATCGCCGCCTGCCTCGAAGATTTTATTAGAAGAAAACTAGTTTCATGGCGTGACAAAAATGGAAATAATTACTAATAAATAACACAGGATAACTTTAAAATATGGGGTTCAATTGACATCGACGTTTATGTTAACTGTCGTGAGCTTGATTTCGAGCAATGCCAAAACATAGAAAATTGCAGCCGGCAAGTTAAGTTCAAGTTGTGTTGCATCAAATGCATAAGATCGTACAATATTTATGCAAGTTGATGGCTTATCATCCACTGGCATTTTTACGGAAAGTGGAGAGAGCCTTGCTAGTGCCTCCGCAAATTAGGGTTTGTTTGTGTAGGGTTTATCCGGAATCTGCAGCAAGCACTCTGAAGCCTGGACAAATAAGTGCGAGAGTCTGCACAAGAAGCTGTATTGATTTTGGCTAAGTGACTACCTCCTGATACAGGTATCATAATTATCTGCCACACGATATTATTTAATGTGATTGTGCACTGAGGTATCTAGTTTTTCATTTAAAAATGAACAAATATTTTATTAAATTTCATTGCCAAAGTGAGAGCATTTATTCCAACCCGATTTGAACGGCAAGAGTTCACGTATATTTTAATTGATACACACTCAATTACACCGAATAACAGTCTCGACACGAACGTAAACATCGTTTAGTATTTTGGCCTCAATTTTCTTTATTACGTGGCTGAGAAATGGCTCCGAAAATATTAAGTGTATTTCGCGTTCAATAAAGACACGGTGAAACGGCTAGTCAATTTTCAGGCTAGCGTGCGTGCTGTGGCTGCTGAATGTAGCGTGATATCAAACTCCCTGTCACGCTCGGCCAATGCACCACGAGATAAAATTGCGCTGTCACGTCAACCCTTTAACTTGTTATATTTCTTACATACGTCCTGCCTTTATTATGTAAACATCGCTTTCGTATGTGCATGAGTAAAAATATTTAAGTTGCTTTTAGATTCCCTAAACACGAATTTTCTCAGGTTTATATGAAAATGTGTTACATTCAGCTGATATCTCTCAGCACGAGTGGCCGCCTTCCTTCAGTAAATTATATTTTCTTTGTGATATTCGATTTTTCCGCTTTCCGCGGGACTGCTCTCATTTGCTAGGAATTATATCGTGGTTCACCAGCGCCCCAACACGCGCGTCCAATACAGCCAGTAATAAAATTGGCCAGCCGCGTAAATTCTTTCCCTCGCTTTCGTCTACGGGAAATGTGGTAGCATTTAGCCTTAGGCTTCATATGATACGTGCAAAGAATTCTCATCGCAGTTGAAAATTCTTAATTTGAACTCGCACGTGAGATTGCCACTTGAATTTTTTTCCTCCGAGTTGTTGCCGGCGCCCATCATGCAACGGTTAATATTGTGGTCACGGTTGTTTCTGCCCAATGAAAGATTAAAAATCATTTGAGCTTTAACCAATCATAACCTGGCCTCCAGGTTTTAAAAAATTAGTTCATACTCGCTTAAAAAATTTGTGCCTCATCATTTATACTTTTTGCATTTCAGTGCTGTTTTGGTCAACCAAATTTCATCGAAATGTCTGAATGATAACTTCGCCGTAATCCATACATTTCGTACAAAATGCAGCGTTGCTCGTGTTCTTTTCGTGTGTTTAGATTTAAGATCTTTGAGGAAACTCCTTCTTCAAAACTAATTGTACTTTATAATGTGTTTTGTTTCAATGATTTGAAATTTTGTGCTTTGTTATAGGGATATATGATGTTTAAAAAATGTATATTCTCTTGCATTGTCCATCTCTTTGAAAGAACGACAATCGAGTTCTCCCTGTAAGTTGAAAACTTATTGATGCAGTCGCATATCAGACATTTGCAGTTATTTGTCGGCACCACCCGTTCTACGAATGGATGACTAGGGAGAAGGGAAGGATGCCACAGCTTTATGCTTGCTAGCGAATCTTTCTCCAAGTGAAGTTTGTGTAAAATAATAGCGAAATAAAGTAATCCACTGCGCTGACAAACGGAGGCACAGAAAAATATCTTGCCAAGATATCGCATTTATTTAAACATGTCACAAAAGAATAAGTTCTACTGGAATCGATTCAATTGTGCAAGATAATTAATTAATCAAGACAATTAATTATATCGGACAATATTTTGTATATGAACAAATAAGTTGATGGCTGTAATATTTCACGCCTCCACATCGATGAATTCACGGAAAATTTTACCCTTCAGCTAAGGGCTCTCAGTAATAATCATGTTAGTGTATCTTCTCCCACGTAAGTCAATCCATTAAGGGGTAGCAAGGGTACAAGGAGAACGGGAGCTGCCCTTTTCTACGAACCCATCCTATCCCGACCTCCATGTTTGTTCTACAGAAGGAAGCTTTGGTGAGTCTTTCTTTCTGTTGTGTGTGCAGCTCAATACATGTAATGCTTGTTGTTTGATTACATTGCGCATAGAAGTCTGTAATATCGCTTTTTGTTATGATGAACATTTAACGTGCAGCCAATGCGGTCAGCTAGCATGGGTTAGAAAGATTGTTCTTATCTCTCTTTGGGACGTTACGCTGGCAACTTGCGAAGGACTCCAGGATAATATTCAGTGAACATAATAATCAGTCAATGACCGAGAATGTTAATACGAGAGGCTTGTAGCTATCTACCCTCGAAAGCTTTTATAATGGAGCAGCGATTGTCAATTTAATTCATTTTTTCGGTAGCACTAAAAGTATTCATATCGTTACTCTGCTTAAATTCTAAATTAATTAAAAATTTAGGACCAAGTAAAATTGCTAAGTAAATTATTGAAAATGTTTCGTAGCACTTATTCATGTTCAATAAATACCTGCCAGTTTCTATATTCTTCCCATTCATGTTCAATAAATTCCAGTTAGAAAGATTGTTCTTATCTCTCTTTGGGACGCTGAACTGGCAACTTCGATAGGACTCCAAGATAATATTCATTGAAAATAATAATTATATATAATCACTCAAGGACCGCGAATGTTAATACGAGATGCTTGCAGCTATCTACCCTCGAGAGCTTTTATAATGGATCAGCGATTGTTAATTTGCTTCATTTTTCGGTAGCAGTAAATTTATTCATTTCGTTACTCTGCTTAAATTGTAAATTAATTTAAAAATTAGGACCAAGTAAAATTTATAAGTAAATTATTGAAAATGTTTCGTAGCACTTATTCATGTTCAATAAATACCTGCCAGTTTCTATATTCTTCCCATTCATGTTCAATAAATTCCCGGATGACGACCAAGGCGTTAAAGCACGTAATAAATTTCAAGTTATTGTTCTTGATTTCAGAACGTGATACAATACAGATATCAACCTACGACTGACGTTCTCATTTGAAAATTAATTTTTATTTTGAAATAAATTAGTCTTGTGACAGTTGTGAGTATGAACGTACAGAATACAACACTAATAATCCAAGAATTCATTCATATATTCAGAACTTTTTTCACATTTACTCACTCTATATACCTACATTTGTTGTCACACTGCACTCTATCACAAATTTCAACTAACAGGTCATTCGTATTTATACTTTTTAACAGATCAGCGACGAAACTGTGATATCGGGAGTGGAAGTTGTGGCTGCAGATTCCAATAATGTCATCGGAAAGTTGATTACGATGTGGCCCCGCCGAGCACGCGCGGTCTGTCATAATTTGCGCTGCTCTTAATTAATGTCCGCTGCCTAATTGCCCACCAGCTCAACAACACAGATTAGATTTTTAATTAACATTCATCCAGTGCGGGGCTTGACTAATTTTGTGCCCTACCTGTTGGAATACGAGGGATTTGTGGAAAATTTGATGTAGTGTTAGCCATGAACTCGATCCTTTCACTTATGTGATATATTGAGTAGGCATATATAAAACGTTTTCGAACTGACGTTGAACACCGAAATATATTTAATGGTTAACTGCCAGTGATTATTTAATGTTTAATGATTTTTCTGCTACTTCTTTCCATCACCAATCATTATAAATTGAAAGTTCGCTTTTTTTAATTAACTTCTGATAAA